TTGATTAATAATGCAAGAAATTATAATAGTAATGCCTAGCACCACTAAACACAAGCGGATGAGCGGCAATTATTTGTGCCTACATTTTAGCTGCGGATTAATTAAATTGCCAAGCTTTGGCTTTTTTGTCGTTTGTGCTACAATTTTCCTGAGATTAGAAGCAGTATAGCAGAAATGGTAAGCAAAACACTACTTCAGCAAACGGAGAAAGGATTTTCTGCGAATACTAAATGAGATAACAGAAAGTTAGTAAGGCTATCATCAAAAAACTCGGGCATTTTTTTTTTTGAATAAAAATAATGGTTTATCATGGTCAGAGGCAAGAACACCTCGTTTTTTGAGGACAATGTACATGGTAGCTTTGCTCAACTGCAGGTCATAACAGTCTTCTCTAACTCGCAGCTGAAATCTATTTTAGTTGCGTTGACCAATGCTGCACCTTCTAGTGGTCAACAGACTGCTTTCCCAACTGTAGTGCCAGCAGTTGCTCTGACCAATGGTGGTGAGCGTATTGACATTCCTTATGCCAGTTTATTCGCACTGAAGGGATTAGGTTCTTCTGTCAAAAACAGTAAGCAAAGTTTTAGCCTTTCTGAGATGTCACTGGTGTGTGTTGGGCATGAGAGTCTCGTTATTACAAATATATACATTTCCAAAACTGGCAGTATTTCAACATTTTCACATCCTCCTTGTATATTTAAACTAATAGGAATAATTTTTTTTACTCATATCGTAACTTAAAAAACGTTTATGCTGCCCTCTAGGTAAAATCATTAAAACTTCTGCCGACATTTCTTAACAAACCTTCCTTACCGCAGAAGCAGGATTGCTCCTAACTGATCCCAGAGTTTAAGCAGCGGGACGCACTAACACATCACCTCCAGGTCTAAAGACGAATAGTCTGGTTCCCGTCTGGTCCGAATTTTTTTGCAGTAGAGAGCCATTACAAAAATTCTGGCTTTCCAAAAAGAAAGTGAACGTCGGGAATCCAATTGTGTTTGTCTTTGATCCGAAAGAAGCCAAGAAAGCCGCAAATTTTTCAAAACTAATCCGAAATTTGAGCCGTTCGTCTGTTTTCATTGCCGCCTTTCTTCCGTAGCATCAAGTGCCGACTGCATTTTTCACGACTGTTTGTCTTTGTGCTATCCATCAATCTGCTATACTTTTTTTTCTAGGAGGAAGTTTCTCGGACACTACAAACTTTTTGTTTTTCTTTCGCTTGGTTTATGAAGTTTTCCTAACGCCCTCTGTATAGATGTGTTTGTCCGTTTGCAGGGCTAGGTGTTTGTCATCCATAAATTAAATAAAATGCCGTAGGCACTGAGGATCAAACCTTGAGTTCGAGAAGCTTAGACAGATTGCACATCAGCCGGATATTGCACTCTTGTATGCTCCTGGTCTCTCGCTCTTTTTCGGTGTTGCACTTGCTTCTCGCAAAAACTGATTTTTCTAAAACTTATTACCGCTTTCTTATTGCTTTCAAAAATTGCATTTCTCTTCGGTGGAAAGATTAGGGCAGTCGTAGGAAGATGCGAGCAGTAAGAGAAGGAAATTCGTATTTTTCCTGGATTTTGGATAATTTTGCATCACTTTCACCGCCTCTAAATGCAATTTACATTACTGTAACTGGATTAAACGTTTTTTATTGCACTCACAAGTGAAGGAAATGGGTGAAAAAGGAGATACTGATCTGTACTACGTCATCACTCTATCACCATATCGACTTTTTCTTGTTAGTATTTTTAAATTCTGCAATTTTTTAGGAACTGTTGCTTTCAAAGCTAGGCTTGAAATCTGTGTTCTGTACACTTGCACATTTTTTTTTTTAAATAGAAGATGGCGAACATACACTGAACAAGCAGCGTGAACAGGCGTCCAGTGCCAACTGGAGGTGCGAAGTACAGGATCGAAGGGTCCTGAACTTACTATGCGGGAGCATTTTAGTCACTCCATTAATGTAGAAACCGCACAGAGATTGTCCAGTCGACCTTGATAGTCTTAATAAATCTCACTTGCTTTTGACATTTTATGCAAACGTAGGAATGGTTGTTTAGCCAAAAATTTCCGAATCACAGTACTAGCATTTTTATTAGAATTAATTTTGCTTTAATATCTTGAGTAATTTAGTCTTATCATTTCCCATCTTTTCGCCAGCGATGTAGAAAGCTGGTACTACACAGTCCGGGATTTCTCCGCAGCCACTGTTGTACAGATTACTATCCCTTTAACTTTCACTGCTGTAATTCAGTAATCCGCATCGCCCATCCATCTGTTATCTCTCATTCTCGCCACATAGATGCCATGTTCTATTTCCGAATATACTTCAGTATGGTACTTAAGAAAAAAAAGTTTTG